TCTCTCTCTCTCTCTCTCTTACCCTTTCTTTCTCTTACCCTTTCTTTCTCTCGTCTATCATTACTATTTCTTCTTTTTTTAGATAGTGCGCACCTGTTGTCAATTAAAAAACAAAATAAATTTGAACCAAATAGTCAAAATGTGAACTTGCGATTAAGCAAAAACAAAACATAAAAAGAAATTGCCAGATTTGGTCGACGTTATTTTTATTGTGAAAGCGCGTAAAACTGTCGATAAAAGCGATTTACATGCCTGCTCATGGACGAGCAATTGAACGCGCATGAAATTTAATTGATACATTGGCGGCAACGGGCAAAAGAAAATTTGCTAGTTTTAAAAGCTTCTATGTTTTATTTTCCGCCGATTTTTTTCAGCCTACTTTCTAACAAACTCTAATGTATATGTAAAACTCATTCTTTCGTATATGTTATATATACATATATATTCACAGCGTTAACTAATCAACTACCTCTATTTCATCTAAGACCTACAGGATCTATTTACAAAACAGGGTTTACAGGATGCACTGCGATGGAATCGCGCGATCGACGGTCTTTTTTTCGCATCTTTTCTCATTCATCCCAAACAAGCGCATAAATTGTTACACGCTATTGCAAATGTCGTGTATGTGCGATAACTCACACAGACTTCTATCATAATAATACGCCTTAACAACTACATTTTCACAACTACGCTTTGTTTATTTCTTGTATATTTTACGGTTTGTTTCGATATAAATTTAACGGAATGAAAAAACTATACGCGTATGTGAAAGATCTTCCTATGCTTCTTTAGTGACGACTTACGCAAATAATACTAAATTCGAGAATATCGTTCGATATGTCGAATCCTTTCAAGGACATGCGTTTATCACACGCTGTTATTTGGGCACTGCACATACAAGTCACTCCCGTAATAATAAAACTGCGCGCGAGATGAAATAGATAACATTACGACACTTGTTATAGGTGTGTATTTATACGTCCTGTGTGCATGTTTTATTTACGTGCAATAAGACGCCCTGTCTGACATCGTTTTCTAAAGAGCATGTCGCTAAGTAATTAAATACCAGAGCACTTTGTGCGCGATATTTATCGTATTTGTGTAAGCTTGTGCACAGCGCGGCGACGACGCTGCACAATGTAGAATATAAAAGAATTGTCAAACGATAAGTCAACAGCCTCTTCTTAAAAAAAATATCGAGAATTCTCCCTCGTTCTTTTACGATAAAAGTCACCGTTTATGCGTCTCTCGTAAATATGCAGAAAGATATCTTTTTGATCTTGTTGTATATGTATATTTTGCAAGAAACGTTGCTATACAGCTTATTCTGTGTACAGCGATTCAAAATGTGACGCGGGTCTATATGAGCGCAGTAGCAGCAGTTCGATATACCGATACGGCTTTTGTGGAGATCGGAAAATCGAATTGAGCCGGAGAGAAAAAAATCTCAAAGGTGAGTTTTTCTCTCTCTCTCTCTCTCTCTCTCTCTCTTTCTCTCTTTGATGCAGATGCTCTCTCCTTCGTTTTACGATCACAATGCGCGGTGCCGCGAAAAGCGTTTCCTGCTCCACGATCAATAAAACCATCCCCCATACTCCTTCCAGAACGCAAACGCAAAGTACACGAGGGACAGCAGCAGTGTGCACCACGTACGCTGTGTGCGAGTCACGCATGTGTGGAGAAAACTCTCTTGCATCGCGAGAGAAACATAAGAGTATGTATCTCTCTCTCTCTCTCTCTCTTTTGCTTGAACAAGGAGCGAAATTAATTCAAAATAAGCTAATTTTATGCAAACAAATTTCTCCTCTGCCTTTGATAGATGTACTCGCGAGATTACTCGGAAAATGTTTCATAAAAATACATGTTCTTGAGAGATACAAAGCAAGATGCCGCATTGGATACGTTACAGAAATATGCACATGTGTGTATAAAGTGAGAAGAAAGAAGAAATGAGAGAACGCAAAAATAGTTGAAGCAACAAACGTTGCGACGGAATAATTAAACGAAGTAATTATCCAAGACTCTCTCTAAACAAATAATAAATGTAACGAACAGGCATGTACAATTAAAAAATCAAGGAAAAGGTAACCATAAGAGCAAAGAGAATATTTTTGCAGCGAAAGAGATTGTATTTCTTATTTGACGCGTTTTAAATAATTTAAGTACAGACAGCGCGGGTTGTCGCTACTTGAAGTTGTGCAAGTGAACGACCATGTGTATACTGTATACATTACGATGTGAGAATATATATAGTAACAATGTTGAATGTACACAGTGAGAATATATACAATACTGTGTGTGAGAACTTTCAAAAATCCCTCAAATTACGTTAATACGAGAAAACGATGCTATCTCTCTAATTCTTTGAAGATTTATACCCTCACCCTCAAGCGTTCATTTTTATTGCATTCGATAATTTGCAAATCGGAGGCGTGCTTTTTTTTTATCTCGGAAGTTTAAGCATTAGTTTGATGCAATTGAGCAATTAGTCGCAGTATATTTGTGCTCGACTTTACACCTTCGATTTGCAATGCCAAACGCGCAGGCTGCCCGATATAACATGTAACTGTGACTGATTTACGGAGACCGTAACTGTCAAACTTATAAACGGTAACCGTTGAAGTTTCCCAAAACATTCGGATTTTATTGCTCCCATTCGTAATCTCGAGTGTTCATTCATTACAAACGAAATTGAAATCCGATTGATAAACGTCAATCCAATTCCGGCGTATTGAGTTGAAGCGAAGCACGCTTCAATCACGCACTTCGCGCACTGGATTTTATAATATCCGCTGATACGACCTCGCGCGTCTCGAGAATCGATTTAACGTTCGCAAGAATTCCGTTTTCTCAGCCCGCCCAGTAAATCCATTATTCTCTCCGCGCCACTGCGTGAGTTCTCGCTTTTTGCGCCGTTTGGCGCGCTTTTATTGTTTTATTACTAAATACATACATACATGCTCGCGACATAATGCGGACTTGACATTTTGCGAATTATTACCGCGTTTCATTATTTCGAACGAACTGGCGTGCGGCCAAAGACCGAGAGAGCTTTTTGCTTCTCTTTATTACAAACCGCGCACAGACGGGAACTGCGTGTGTATACTACGCGCGCAATTGTCATCTCGCGTTGTCATTTTCGCGGCACAGAAATTTATGTTGATGCAAATTTACTAACGCACGCACGCACGCGTAACAACACGGAGGTTAACACAACGGGGTGTGTAACCCCCGAGAACAATTCGCTCTCTTTATGCTAATTCACGTATAAAGCGATGTACGAATAAGAGCGTGACTCACACGTAAGCGAATCATCGCGGTTTTTTCCAAAATGGAAACTGCAATTGTTTTTTATCCGAACAAACTGTATCAATTGTCTCGTGCAATGCTTTACTGCGGGACGTGACGCAAACTCGAAAGACAGTCACTGCAACATTTCATCATCGACGATTTATATTTTTTCTCCGAATTGCAATCACATATAGTGTTTTGCGTGTGTGACGAATAACACTACAGTCTTGCACATTGACGCGATGTCTTTTGTGGGAAAACATGTGTCAGCTTATTCTTCGCAGTCATCGACCGATCCTATGTTTACGTTTGCACAAAGAAGGCGTTGAAGCGTCCCGCGTTCATTGGAAAATCGACTGAGCTTTTTAACCCGTCCGGACTATTTTTCTTGACTTGCATAAAAACAGGCTGTCTGCCAGAACGAAAGACAGCTCTTGCTTGTCTCTTTCTACGTAAAACGCGAAAACCTACCGAGTATATGTATACGTGAAGAAAGTTCCCGAACGTGTCTTTCTTTAAATATTGACGCGAAGATAAACATCGTGTGCTCAGAATTCGTGCACAAGAACACTATATATACATACAACGTATAAATTTCAATTATCTCGACCAATGTAAAGTCTCAAGATGGCATCTCTATATATATGTATGTAAGTAAACATACAGATAAATGTAATATATAACACAGTCGCGAGCTATATATATATATATATACATATGTATTGACGTTCCTCGAACGATTTTGTACGGATGAGGAGGTGGCGTATAACACGCGGAATCGGTCATCGAATTGTTTCCGCCGTGTCACAGGGTAACCTGTTGCCAGGCACGAACATTGGCCGGCTATGTGGAGCAAGTAGCTGTACTCGGGAAATAGCGGCAGGCAAGTTCGTTCGATCGATGATAAACCAGGCAAATTACCGGAACGGCGCTAAATGACGATATAAACGTATGTAATTAGCAATCGCGGCCCGACGTAAAAGGGCGAGCGTTTGTACGACCGTGTTGTTACGTGTCGCGAACGTGATTTTCTATAAATATCGCGAAATTGTGCGAGAGAAGAGAGAACATAAGGGAAAGCACGGAGAACGTGAAAAGGGTGGTGGCGATGAAGATAATTGCGTATCGCGCGCTAAAACCGGTACGCTTTCTTGGCGTGCACTTTCATGGCCGTACACGGACAGGAATAAAATATCCGAGAAAACTCTTCGAGATATCTCAATTCATTGCCGCATGCAGCTCTCTAAATGCATCTCCCGGAATAGAATTCTCAAGATAAAGCCAACCAGCTTGTCTCAAACATGCGTTCTGTCGTATATTATGTTTTGATCATGCTTTTATAACACGACGCGGCGTGCGACTTGTACGAAGACAGTATGGTGCGTAATTGCGCGAGAGTACTGCGTATGTCGTTTCGAGATAACAAACAGTTTTTCTGTTATAATTGAAATTTTGTCGATGAAAATCTTGTGAATATTTTGTTTTCCTTGTGAAAAAGCGAAACGCGTGTCTTTTCAAATATGCTCAAAACATCTTCTCACCAGAGCTAAGTAAAAAAGACAAAACAAAAAGTTTAGATGATTCCAAGATCGCATCTTCGCGCCATGTCTTGTAAATAATCTAAAGTTTCGAAAATAGCGACCCCCCCGAGATGTTGCGAATCGATAGTCAAAATGTGTGTCTTCCTCTTGCAAGCCAAGACGCACGATTCAGCGAGCATGAAAATTATAATTGGAGTGAATCTTACCTGACGTTTCTCGCCGAGCTTCACCCTTCCGTGGAGAAGAAACGAACGGGCGAGTTTCCGCACTGATGACGCCTCACGCCATGAACGTCTCTCGATCAGGTCGGCCCACCTTCGACGAAGAAGCGTCGATTCTCCCCTTCGAATTTCAAAAAACCTCGTCGATCGCCTGGTTTTTCTCCGTTTTTCTTTTCTTTCCTCTCGCGCGAGGCTCTTCAAAATTGGTTACATTTTCCACTGAAATTCCGGTTTTTTTCACAATCGCCGCGTACTTTTTCCGCTACGAGCGGCCGCACACTAAAAGCTGCTTTTTTTTTTACGTTCTTCTTTTCCTGCGAAATAAACTCGCAACTCGCGCGCAACTTACGTTTTCACCGCGAAAGACCGTGGACGAGTAAAAGCTGCCTCTATGTTACTAAATAAGAGCGTGTAAAGCAGGACACGCCTCTGCAAAGCATGGCGCAAGCTCAGATTACGCTCCTCGTACGCCGAACGGAAGCTCGCCGAAGGGCTCCAACTCCACCTCGATACGCGCATGTCACGCTGACGTGGGGTATTAATCCTCTCGAAGTGTGTCATCGCAATAAAATCAACGCAAATGTATCGAAGTTTAATATTCGTATCGAAATAACGATCAAAATAATTTAATTTGGTTGGCATGTTAAAAGTACTTAGTTTCCAAGCGGTAGCGCTTTCCCTTTATACAAAGGGAATTTAATTTTCAAGAAAAGTGTTGTATATAATATTAGTACGCAATTAAACAGAAAATTATTTATTACAAGGATCTTCTTTCGCAGTGTTACACAATCAACTTTCCCGACAATAAAATATTAATTTATTCGATGTTAAACAATGTAGTCAGAAATATATCTTGTTCTCGGTTATTGTAATAAATCTTTGTTTCGTTAGCCTCTTTAAATACAATTACATAGGAAGCAATATAATCAGACGTACATATACTCATATATCACAGTTAAGTATTATATCAGTCAAGAAATAACAGTAATAATAGAAAGTAATTTATTGGAAACATCGCAGGCACCAGTCGTGCTTTTTTCAGTCAGATAAATAAGCTAAGACACGACGCGCTTCAAATAATATAAAATTATTAAAAGCCATATTTTTGCGCATAACTTTTGCTTAATAGTAAAATTGGTGTTTAATGCTTAATCAAGGTCGTTAAGGCACTTCGTCTTATCATCGCCATGGCTTTCGAACAGTCCCCGTACTGGTGCTCCTTCTAATAGTTTGGTCTATATATATAAAAAAAAAAACAAATTGTATATTTTTATTAAAAGTTTTTAAAATTTTTATTGTAAAGTTAAACACAAATAAAAAGACATGAATACATGACTTACGCAATGGATTTGGCGACACGTGTTTGTCTCTTATGTCAGAAGTCCAAGTTTGGCATCTAGACCTTGTGGAACTCTTTTTGACAGTCGACGGTTGCTGATACTTTATCATTCTAAACAATTAAAATAAATAAAATATATATATATGTACATATACGTCAATACAAGTTAATACAAGTTATAAAACATACGTAAGAGTTTTATACATGTAAGAGACAAAAAATATATATTTATATTACGTAGATTCAAATTCCTTTAGATTTTTTCTCGCCAGAGTTTTTTGGGTAGCAAATGAATACGATCGAGCCGAAGCTGGACGTTCCGCTCGGGATTGCTTGATCTCGCGATCGTGAGCTATTACTTTCATTCTCTTTGCCGGAGATTGGGCAAACAATTCGACTATGTTCATAGAGGCTGCATCGCACTTGAAGATATCGTAAACTTATTAGACGCGCAATATTTTTCTCGAAGCAAAAATCAATTTTCGGCAAAAAAAAATCAGTAATTACTTGTAATTGGAGACGATGAAGAAAATCGACTTCCGCCAGGCTCAAGGGCGCATCAACGTGCAATTTGAGCATACATTGTAACGCTTCCTTGTATATCTTTTTTAACGTGATGACACGTTGAGTTCGCATTAATCTGCGTACTAAATAACCTCGTGCATAAGCGTTAATAATATTCACCGCGTGTATCTGTGTGTGAATATGATAATGTAATTTTCATATTTTTTTGTGACAAAACTTTGGACGCAAAGAGAATTATATTGTATATACATCTTATGTGTATATAAAATAATTTAATTATATTTTGTAATATATCTAACTACATTTGTATATTACACCCTTAAAAACTACTTTAATATATTTCACAAATGTTTTAAAGTTATATTGTTTTCTACTTGTACTCACATGTTTATCGAGATATACCGAAGTATCTATTACTGGTACGTGCGTAGTGTTGCTATCTAAAGGAAATAACTGGCGATTTACGGTCGAACTTCTAAATACAACACGATCGTACGACTTGTGATTGCCATTTGTAATATCGTCGTCATTATTATTGTTATTATATGTAACGTCGCACAAATTCTGTTTTTCTGTAAAGTCGAAATCAAGAGTCGATGGAAAAGCGTTCGTAATGGAAGATTTACAATGTCTAAGCAAATATAAATTTTTCGAGGGAATATATTCTAGCGGACACATAATGACATTTGTGTGATCTGTCGACAGTACTTTACTATTATTATGCTGTTCGGCATCTAAATTGCTATAAGGGTTCGTATTCGAGTGTTTTTCCTTTTCGCTAATATCTCCGAGATTCGTCTCGTTGTTTAAAAGCAATGACTGATTCGTAGTAACGTTTGAAGCATCTACTTGACGCAACATTTCGGAAGAACACTTTTGTATTTCGGTTAACAGGAGCTTCTGTTGCTTCTGAAATTCCGCTTGCAGCTGCGATTGCTCCTTCCGCTGGCGATTTATCAATTCCACCATTTTTTTCTTGTGCATCTCTTCGATTTCTTTATAAACCGTCAACAGTTTGTCAGACGTGATGAACAATTTCATCTTGTCAGTTGCATCTTCATCGTTTTTGTACTCTTTTATTTTATCACGATGCTCGTTCTCACTCAAATAAAATACTTGCTGCGCTCTAGAATTTTCTTCTTTCATTGACTCTTGCAATTGAGTCGCTAAACTTAATATATTAACTTCACTATCTCTCTCAGATTTTTCTACCAAACTGTGTTTTTTATCATCAGTATTTTCACTATTTTTGTTCAATGTAATGTTAGATTTATCTGTCTTTTCTTGAGAAACAATTGTTTCAGTAGAATTAATAAATTTATTTATTTGATATGGCTCTATATGTATCAATTCTGCGCGAGAAGTTAATTCTTGTGCATAATCTGTTTTGTTAGACACTTTTGTGTTCTCTACTGCAATCTTTGTATTTTCCCATTCTACTTTGGACTGTGCAATATTCCACTGCTTTCGCTGAGATATGTTGGATGTGGTGCATGTTGGAACATAGTCTCTGTTACTCAATTCTGATGAATGCATATGAGCGAGCAACATGGGGCTAGGTGTATCCAGTACATAAGAACCTTGACGAGATAACTTGGGTGGATTGTCACTTTCTCTGGAAACTGGTGTAGGAGTATTATTCTCTTTGTCGCTTAACATTATTGGAATTACATCCAATGTTCTGGGTATTTCAGGTTTCCAACTTTCTGAGTCTTTATTTGGTGTTACTATTTTTGTTCCATCGTCATGTTCATTTTGATTAATGTCTGACATTACAAGTTGTACATCATTGACAATATTCTTTGGTGAACAGATTTGGAATTCTGTTTGTTGTACATCCGATGCTAGAAATTGGATATCATTTTTGTCTCTTTGTTCTCCGTTGACTTGTCTCGTTGGTTCAACAATTGTCATTTTAGAATGCGAGTCACTATTAGTATCGCTTAGAGTATTATGAGTAGACATATCGCTGTCTGAACTATATTTAACACTTTTTAATCCATCTACTGATTTTATTATGTCAGCTTGCACGCATTTATTACTACGTTTAAGAGGTTGTTTTTCTTTGATTTTTCTCTCGACTTCGACAGCTAAAGATTTGTAGCGTCTCATTTCTTCTCTAATACCGTCAGTCATCTATGAACCACAAAGAGAGAAAGAGACAGATAGTACAATAGTAACAAACACTAGTGCTACTTAACACAAAAAGATACTTTTTAAAGCATATTAATAAATTATATTTACCAACGGTGGAAGAAGAGGTATTCCGTTTATTTTAATAAAAGAAGTATAAAATTCTTGTTGCATATTTAACGTTATAATTTTAAGAATACACTTTGTCGCAATATACGAGCTATTTCTACGAACACTCAATTCAATTCTCACTGAGAAATCACGGTTTTTAACTTTTCTAGAAAGCCTTCTAATTCGAATTTCATGAGAAGCCTTCTACTTATCATTCAAATACTTCGAAGTGCAATTTACTAATGCGAGAGAGAGAGAGACAGAAAGACTAAAACCTTCTTCTTCTTCTTTGCACTTATGGCGCCATGCCACCTGAACTATTGAAAGACTAAAACCATTGAATATTCTATGTACAAAACATTTTGTGAGATTGGTGACTCGGGAGAAACTTTAAGCACTGAGCGAAGCGACCAATCAGATTTGAGCATTCTCAAAGGGCTGCGCTCAGGGAGCGCGCTATCTGCGCTATTGTATTATTCTATCTTTACTTCTCATTAGATGTAAAACAAAAATAGAATGACGCAATAGCGTAGATAGCAACCTCTCTAAACACAACTAAAATATATAGCGACACTTTTTTCCTAGAGGACAAAAATAATAAAAGATGCTTTCCTTTTAGGAGACACAGTCGATACAAGAGTCATTCTGTCTTTGTTTCTCACTGAATACTGAACAAAGACAGAATGACTTTTGTGTCGACTGTCTCCTAAAAGGAAACCAGCCAAAATGAAAACTACAGTGGAACTTCGTTTATCCGGACCGATCGGAGGACAAGATAGTTCGGATAACCGAAACCTAATCTCTATTATACAGTTCCTATAATACGAACTATCGGTCTGTATAATAGAAAATTAAGCCTCAAGTCCTTCTGGATAAACGAGGTTCCACTCGTAATTTTGTACTAACCACGAATATATAAAATTAATAAATAAAGGCTGCGATGTTATTAAATATGTTATTATTTTTCATATACATATTTTAACATAGAGATATATTGAACCTGTTATTTTAAGATATAATGTTTAGGATATTGTACAATTCTTGGAAAGTTGTCCACTTCTTCTTGTGGAATATGATCTAGTCTGACTGGTACTGGCCTCAGTTGTTTGATCTGATTGCCAATATTTTTCAATATCTCTTCTGGTACTTTTTCATCCGGAAATATATGTAGTCTTTGCATAGTGTGCCTCCGTTGTAAATTCTTTGGTAATGCTCTATATACAGCCTTCTCTACAATCTTTAAATTTCATTTTTACATGTATTTAAAAAACTTTTAATTTTTTGTATTTTTTAATAACAAAACATGAAATTTTACCAAAGTCGGATCTTTGCTATGTAATTCCCAAGCAAGAGTCCAAGTGGCACCACCGTGGTACGTATTGTGATGGAAGTATACACGTTTTCGCCATTCAGTTCCAGCTAATGCAATTTCTTTGCTATTTATCACTACTACATGATCACCGCAATCATCTGTATAAAAATTATCAAGTACATATACATTACAAGAAAAGCGATTACTGTGCGACGCAGTACTCACTCATAGGGTGATATATTGGTTTATACAATCCCATTAGATAGTGTTTTATTATTTCTGCACTTTTAAATGGATCTTGCCAAGTTGCATCGAATATATGCCAAATCCGGGCAAATGTTCCCCATTGCTACAAACAGTTATGTTCACATTTTATAAATTGGAAGTTTACACAAAGACAAAACATAAAAAAATACACAAAAATATAATCAATTTTCATGTAAAGTCTACACGAGAATTATGTTGCAATCTTATTTCTACTATTATTAATATTCAAAAGAGTAAGAGAACACACAAACCTGTCCTCTTCGAATGAGTGACATAATTATTTTTGATATATAACAATGTTTTGTTAAATTTATAAACCAATTATTTTAGGTTACATCTCAAAACCAGGTTAGGGTTTAGAATAAATTTTGAATAGGGTTAGGTTAGGTTAGGTTAGGTTAAGTTAGATTAAGAATATGTACCCAACGGGTGCGTTCGTCTTGACCACTGAACTATAATATAGAACGCTCCTTGCCATTGTGCGAGCTGTCCGCGATAGAGAGCATCACAACTAGGATCTCTGTCTTTGTCTCGTCGTCGCTGATTGGTTGAAATTTATACGAGTACAGTTCATGACAAAAGAACAACGAAAAGTAAAGAATGACTGCGTTCAGTCATTCAGTCACTCAGCAATTGCTGAGCGCTAATTTCTGCTGATCGCAGACATTCTTTACTTTTCGTTGTTCTTTTGTCTTGGACTGTATTCGTTGCTAAGCGCTAATTTCTGCTGAACCCGGTTATTCTTTACTTTTTGTTGTTTTTTTTTTTGTCTTGGACTGTACTCGTATAAATTTCAACCAATCAGCGACGACGAGACAAAGACAGAAATCCTAGTTATGATGCTCTCCTATCGCGGACAGCTCGCACAATGGCAAGGCTGTGTTCAGTTAAGCAAGATGGAACGAACTAATGCAGGAAATAAAGGAAATACAGGAATTGGAACTAATGAAACTAATGAAAGAAGTGAAAATAGTGAAAAAAAAGAAGGTTGGCTCCTCTGATCTGTTGCGGAACATGTGTAGTGGCAAAATTGGAACCGAAACAATTCTTTAAGTTTCCATTCCGAAGAAAGTGAAAAAGGAAACGAGAGAAGGCGGCGCATACGGATTATAATTAAAAAAAAAAAAAATTGGAATTTATAGAATCGAACAAGGAAGCGTTAATTGTGACAGAAGATGGTGCGGTCTAACGATG